ACACCGTGCTGGCACGCCATGTCGGCGCCCATCCAACCCCACACCATTCTTGCGTTCCCCCTACAGCAAGCAATTCAGATATACATCTGTCCGACCTTGTCCCTCCTCACCTCACACACAGCTTTCGCATTCACTTGTATTGTTTATTCGCGCCACTACAATTCCCAGCCTCGCCGTTCAAGCACTTCACAAACAGCTACATCGTGCTTCTCTCGCTGCTCTCCCAAACAAGCCACCTCAGTCTCTGTTTATTTCACCCCGTTGGAATACTTTCCGTGAGACCACACTCGGCGTCCTCCCGCAATTCCTAGGAAAGACCATACCTTGAAATGGCTCAGCAGCAGGTTCCAAACATGCAGGGCATGAATGCAGGGAGTTTCAACGCAGCTCCGCCGCCCCAGTCCCTGTACGCCGCTCCACCGCCACCCCAGTACGCCGCGCCAGCGCCTGCGCCAGCGCCGAGCAATTCGGAGGGGTGCTGCGCCAACAACAAGCGCTCCGCGCTTTACACGTGGCTCCCTTTCGGCCTTCGCATCGGCATCTTTTTCTTCTGCCTTGTCGCTTTCAGGTGCGCTTGTCGCTTGGATGAACTCAGCATCATTAACCTTTCTCAATCTCAGATCGAGTTCCATTCACCTCCTCACATTTTCGTGCTTATCGCCAGGAACGCGAGAGAATATTGTGAAGTTGCTTATCCCCCTCCTGCCCATATTTCTTATTTTCTTACAATCCTCTTCCCCTCGATTGCTCGGTTTTCTTTATTCTCCGCGGCAGTCTGTTGTTCGCGACCAAGGCGACAGTGACGTCGTACAGCGCGGGCGCGTTTCTGGTGGGAATGACGATTTTGGGGTTCATATTCGCCGTAATGCTGCTCGTGTACAACTCCGTGCGCATCTGCGTCGCCGGCTCCGAGTCGTACGACTGGATCATGGACATCGTGCAGTTCTTCGAGTCCTACGTGAGTCCGTTCGAGTCGTACGTGAATCTTTTGACATCGTGAGTTTTGAATCCTTACGAACCCTTGAGACCTACGCGAATCGTTCGTATCCTTGACGTGATGTCAGCCCATCGAATCATACGAATAAATGGTGGACATCGTGCAGTTCTTCGAGTCCTACGTGAGTCCATCGAATGGTCCTTTGAGACTCACGTGAGGCAACCGCGGTGCGCGCATACTCGTCCCGCGGTCCCAGCTGGACAGCCTAAAAAAATCGAGAGGCTGGACTCAAGTCACTGGCCAATCGAATGCCTGAAACATTCTCCAAAACCGATTACTGTGTGTACAAAAGATTTTTATTATTTCTATCCAAAATCCCTCGTTATTTGACAGATCATGTCGCTTCTGCTGTTCGCCGCCGCCACGTCAGGAGCAGCTGCGTGCAACACCTGGTGGAACACCGGCGCCTTGAACAAGTACGTTCGTCGTTCCCCTTTGGCGTAAAAACAGAGAAGCAAAGAAGCACAGATGAAACAGCAGGCTACAAGAATGTCCTCCGACCATCTATACGCAATTGAACAACCTATTAACCTACATTTTTAGCGACAACCTATAACTCTTATTAAATCACGTCTCCGTTTCCTTCTCCCGCTTTCCCTTGTGCAGTATGGTGCTTGGAGATTACAGCACCAGCGCAACCAAGGCCATGCTCGCCTCGCTGGGACTGAGCACCACACTCCCTGGATCGTTGGACTACGACTCTTATATTAATCAATACATTAATGACGCTAATGCGGACCTGGGCAAGGTCCGTGGTGCATGCGCCATGGCGTATTTCGCCGCCTTCACCTACATTGCAATGTTCTGGTACTACACCACCCGCATGTACAAGCGCGGTGTGCTCAAGGCCGTTGCAGATGCAGCGCCGGCAGCAGTCAAGGACAACGTTCCTCCTTACAATGTGTGAATTGAAACCCGTGATTGACATGTGATGGATTCTTCTCCTTGTTTTCGGTTGTATAACATATGCTGCTTTAGTGTACGCCTGGGTGGGGGCTGCTCGTTGTACTTCATCATCAGGATGGGGTTGTGTCACTCTTGGAGTTCCTCTGTTAGGGATTCCTAGGCTTGCAGAGCAGAACAAATGCTCTTGGGGGTCCTCTAGGGACCTGTTGCTTCCATCTCTGTACAGAAATTTTTCAGTATGAGTTTGTACTGAATGTTATGGTACGTTGCGCTCGCTATACATGGCATAATGAAACCCTGGTACCCTCCAATCTGATTTTGAAACTCAGCAGTAGTAGGTGGTATTGAGTATGTTGATGCCTGTTAGTCTTCATTGCTCATTCTTGTGACATGGGCCATGGCTCGCCATGGTTCTGGCATGCTAAATTGTTATTTCCGTTCATTAATTGATCCCAGTTATTGTTACCGCAGATGCTTGCCGACCTTTTGAGCGCATTCCTACGTGCTATCGAGTGCGGAGACCATGACGTGGCAGTCATGGACTGAAATGAGAACACGTGTGAACAAGTGTTCTGCTATCCACTATCCCACCACACATGTTCTCTACCCCCTATCTCCCATCCCACCACCCGTGTTCTGCTTTTGATTAGTTGATAAACGTATAAGTCGGCCCTCAAACTTAAGGTGCGATACATTGCAACCTTTGACATTCATTCTAAGTAGAGATACGGTACGTTTGTTCGTTCGAAGGATCCTAATTATCACATGTTTTTAAGGTAAGAATGCGGTTTATTTCACCCCGTTGGAATACTTTCCGTGAGACCACACTCGGCGTCCTCCCGCAATTCCTAGGAAAGACCATACCTTCATCGCGGAAATGCTAAGTCAGGAAAGTCACGGAAATGTGACTTATAAGGGACTTCTACGTAACCTTTTCCGGTGACGGAAAAGTCATGGACAGAAGTCCCAGTTCGCGACGTTACCTATAGAGTCACTAACACTTCACCATTCCGTTCCGCATTTGTTTCGTAAACAACACATTTTCGTCACACGCAACGTTACATCTGAGTGACCATCGCGTCTATGAACAGTGACCCGGCGCACCACAACCATTACGTCACCATAACATCACCGGACAATGCCACTGCCACGTAGGCATCCACGTGGTGTACAGTTACAACACCCACGTTACATCCAACTCCAGACGCAACTGAACGTACTTGCGTTTCTGAGCTGGGCTACCAACCACTGACAAGCACGTGTCGTCCCTGCCACCCTAAACGAACCGTCACGCACCATAATCCAGGCTTACAAGCACCGCCAACAACGTTTAAGGGCCCCCGCAGGCCTCGTTTTTCGTCGCGCTTAAAGGGCCCCGCTGGCCCCTCGTTTCGTCACGCTCCAGAGGGGACTCTCCACCCCCACCCGCGGGCCCGCGTAGTCGTTCTTAGCCCGCAGCAGCGCGCGCGTTAGCCAGCGGCAGCCGCGCACGCCACTGCAGCACGCACATTGCAGCAGCAGCGCGTGCATTGCTGCAGCTGCACGACTAGGCAGCAGCGCGTGCATTGCTGCAGCAGCACGGCTAGGCAGCAGCGCGTGCATTGCTGCAGCAGCACGGCTAGGCAGCAGCGCGTGCATTGCAGCAGAAGCACGGCTAGGCAGCAGCGCGTGCATTGCTGCAGCAGCACGGCTAGGCAGCAGCGCGTGCATTGCAGCAGAAGCACGGCTAGGCAGCAGCGCGTGCTCCTGTAGTAGCAGCACGGCTAGGCAGAAGCTAGCCGCCAGCAGCAGCTAGCCACCGGAACCTAGCCGCCAGCAGTTGGCGCCAGCTAGCACCTCCCACCCGCCCATAGCCCCTTTCAACCGCTCACAGCCCCTTCCAACCGCTCACAGCCCGTTCCAGCCGCTCTCGCGCGCACACCACCCAGGACCACCCGACCTCCGTTGGTTCGACACTCGCGTCACTCATACTCACAGTGTTTCGCACTGTCGCGGCTGGAGGCCGCTCTGCTTAGCTTTTTAGGCTAGCCTTGACGTTCGTTGTTAGCTAGGTCTCTCCTCGCTCCGCCAGCCCCTCGAACGACTCTCTGGCTCCTCGATCGGCTCGTCAGCCCTGCCTCCTCCAGCCGTTTACTAGACTGGCGTTCCTAGCTCTGTTTTCCTCCGTGCTCCAGCAGTACTCCGCCGTTCTCTCTCCAAGCGCTCCGTAGGTTTCCTCCTCGTTCTTAGCTCAGCCTCTGCCGAGCTCCAACCGTCAAAACGTAAATGCATGGACGACCCAGATTTACCCCCCTCCTAGAAAACCCGCACACGTGCCCCCCTTCACACCGTCGATTTTAGACACACCCACGGTTTTGGTGCACTCATCCCACGACAATCCACGGCGTACATCCAACCATCGTGCCAACACCGTCTCTCTGCATGGTGGACGACAACCATTGATGCAAGACGACATCAACGGCTCACACCGAAAACGATGCGCACAAATCGACGCCCATCACCCATCGCATTACCATCGTACGAGGAACTTCTGTACCATCCCACGCGTCTAATACGTCGCCTGTTCTCGCACCGCTGCTCGTGCGAGAGTCCATCCACGATGTACGATGCCCGGCGACAACAACACCCATGACGTTATCACACATCACCACCGTCTATCACACGGGCCTCGCAGTGAATCCACGCGTAGCGCGAGTGAAGCACCCATAGATCGCACCATCAATATTCACCCACTGAACACCCGGGCCGCGTTTCCACCTACCCTGGACCGCACTGTTCATGCTTCTAGTACATTTTACTGCCTTCTCCGTGCAACTTATGCGTCGGCAATTTGGTTCTGCTCTGCAACTAACGCATAACTTTCTTCATTGACCGCACATTAAACCATCACATAACCCCACCCTCCGTATGCGCTCGCCCACCAACAACATGCAACACTACACCAACACTTCAAAAGCTACTACCGCCTATCCACCCACCCCCACCCCCTAAAGCCCTCATCTTCCCCAGTACTCTGACGCAAGATTGACCCCCCACTTTCATCGTGCAATATGGCCTGCTCTACGGCTAGGCCTCAGGTGAGGGACATGTTGTCCCTCTAGCCGTCGCTCTCGCTGTGTGCCTGCTTGGCGGGCTCCTGCCTCTCAACTCCATCCGCAGACAGGCGCAGCCCATGGCGGCCCCACGCCCACGACGACGTCGTGGGGTCGTACTGCAGCTGGTACTGCTCGATGGCAGCCATGACGTCCACGAGCGCGCACTCGCGGAGGCCGTCCACGATCTGCGCGTTGACACCCGCAGAGTTCGAGAGCCTGCCCTTGCGGGTGTCCCAGAAGCGGATCGCGTCGGTCACCTGCGCAGACGAGCACCACCCAAGGAATATAGGCGCATTAGCATCCACAATGTGCATCCCTCCTCACGGATAACCACAGGCACAAATGGCTCCTTCTACTCTATGGATCGGCCATACTCACCACGTGTTCGAGCCACGCCATGTGATACAGCTTCAACGTCAGCGTCCCGTTCACCATCCGGGGCCTGAACGCCGCGCGAGCGCAAGCAGCAAATGCGCCCAACGCAAATGGCATGCCGCGCCTGTCCTCGCTCCACTTGGAGATCACGAAGTGGTCTGCACAACAACCATCCGGCCATACGTGCGTCATTATGTTGCAACCGCCCAAGCAAAAACCAACCAGGTTGACAGCCTTACCCTCCCCATCGAGCGTCAGAAGAAGACGCTCCTGAACTCTCGCAGCCGACCGGGCCCTTGGTGCAGCCCACGGGCTGCTCGCGTCCCTCTCGTCGCGGAAAAGTCCCAGCTTCGGCAGAGCGATGTCTCGCACCCTGCCCGCGGCCGCCGTCTTCCAATCGCTCAGCGTACGGTTCAGGTCAGCGCGACACACTTTGTCCGCAGCCATTGCGAGAGCAGCAAAGGTGGGAGTCAGACGCTCAATTACAGCGCATAGCCCGGCACTCTTCGCCGCACTACTGGGGTAGAACGACATCTGCGCGTCTGGAGTGTTGATGAAGGGATGCACACACAGCTGCTCGCAGATTTCCTGCGTTCAGCAATACACACATACGTAAGCATGCCAGTTAAACACTGCGGCAATCCATCCTCAACAACCAAGCACCCCGCCTACAGATCGGGCCTTAACTGACAATGCGCCCCCACCATGCAAGACATCAACCCTATCACCCCACCTTCCACCCTTTGTTCGCGGGTAAAAACTTCAGCGCACACTGCAGGATCGGTGAGCTCGACGTCCGCACGTGGGTTGACCCTGTCGCACTCGCCTCTTGCGTTGTCACGTTTGCGCTTCTTCGCCTGGTGGTTGGCCAGCGAGGCCAGCAGTGCCGTCTCCAGCCGTGCCATTGTAGCTGCCGTGTCCATCTGCATCTTGCGCAGCGCCGTCATCTCCGCCCTGGTCACGGGCGCGGAATCTGAGGCCTCCTCCTGTGTGGCGTCTTCGTCGCCGTCGACGCGCGGATTGACCCTTGGAAGAGCTTCGTTTGGGTCGTCGTCTGACGACACTGGGCCCGGGCCCGTCGCTGCAGGTTCTTCACGCCCTTCATCGTCCTCTAGGTCTGGGTCCCTGCTCCTCTTTCCACTCCGCGCGGTGCGCGCATCCTCCTGCGACCGGGCCGTTCCAGCCTTGCGGCGATTCGACGTCGTCTCGCGCGACGAAGAGCTCGAGCCATCCCGATCATCTCTCGCGTCGCGAGGGGGGCGTCGACGCTGCGAAACACCGACCCAGTACGTGTTAGTGTGTGCCATGTGCAATGCAGAAACCATGTAAACGACGGACACAAACACAAACAACACACATACAACGGTCAGAAGTCACGCTAGGTACCGGCGTCGCGGAAGTTTTTGCCCGCTTAGCAGGCGGCGCCCTCGGCACCGGTGGACGCTTGGAAGTTCCAGGAAGCACGTAGTGCTTCAGGTGAGACGGGGTCTTGGACACACGCTGACGTTTTCCGTCCCTGGACACTCTACCGCTCTCATTGCCACTGTCCATGTTGCCTGCGGCAACCAGACAGACGATGTGCACAATGGTGCACAACCTCACTTTTTGTGCACAATCTGCCCGTCGTCCGAGATTGGCCTCATTTGACGTGGAATCCACCTACTCACCTCCGAATCTACTGCCCTATCATCGTTTGCCACCATTCCGAGCTCTGGCAACCTTACCTTTATTGTGCCCACTCACGTACCAGCGTGCTCATGCCACCGTGTATTGACCCCCCCCCCCCCCACACCAAGTCTTTTGTACTCTAACAAATCAGTTGTAACAGTTACGGTGAGATACATTATTTGTAAACAAGTGTTTTCATATATCCTCCTTAACATACATCAACATGCAAAGTACAAACATTTGTCCCTAGATTGTCACTCCAAAACAACAACAGTTTCCATCGCACGCAACGTCTACCACAGATGCCTCTACTACTTTAACCAGTCAGCTCTCACACCACCTCCAAGCCACCCGTCCCATGATCCCTCCACTGCCCACTCACTACCCCTGGGCCTGCGTGCACGCAATCCCCCCCTCACTGTCTTCTCCCCCATTGTCATCCTCGCTCACCAGATCCTCATCTTCTTCAGCATCTCGAGTATCGCTATCAGCTGCCTCTGCTTTCGTTGGAGGCGACTCCGCACCTGGCTCCGGCTTGAAGGGTGTTCCTGGCAGTACACCAATGTAGTCCATGGCTTTACGCCACTCCCTCCACCTGTACCATTTGCGCTTCTGTACAAGATGCCTAACGTCATCCACGATAGCCCCCTCCAGTGCAGCCATCTCCGCATCTGACAATGACATCATCTTGGGGAAGTGGTCCTTCCGTCTGATCACAAACGCGCCAGCGGCGTACGCATACGCCGCGTCCTCCTCCTTCAAGTACCCCCAAGGCGAACCTGCTTCCCAGTTTCCGGGTCTGCAATGATTTTGACGCACCACTTCCGCACTCGGAGGTCGTACCACACCCCGGTGTACTCGCTCGTTCCCCCACGTTTCACCAGACCCCCTGTACCGCTTGCCTTCACCTTGGTGGCCCTGGTCCTTGGCATGCGGACGCCGGCACCATGACCCTTCACGGGCGTCCTGTCTGGTGTCTTTGGATTGGCAGTCTTAGAGACGTGTCCCCTTTGTTGCTCGTCGCCAGCGCCATCAGTGTACGGGAAGTTAACACTAATAAACCGGGGTTGAGGTAGTGGTGCGGGGGAGTTGTGTAGGAGTCTGGTCAGCAAACTCGACGCCGCCTCACGCTCCCGCATCCTGTCGCCCATGCTTGACCGCCTGAGGAGTCCCGTCCCATGCGTACCCAACTCATGGGCACACGCCGCTTCCAGCTGATCCTGGGTGAACCCAAGCGCTGAGGCGATACTCATCACGGCGGCTGCCAAGAGGACACCATCCACCTCCATGCTGTTCCTATCGGGGGACAGCTGCGCCAGGTCCGTTCTGACCTCGTCCTCCGTTGGAAACAGCATGCAACCGTCGTCGTCTACACGCGCATGCGGCTGGGGCAGCACCTCGACTTCCTCCATGTACAGCTGCACAAACAGCTCCCCCACTGCATGACTGGCCACATCCCTGCGCATGCCTCTCCTGTAGGTGCGTGATGTGACGCCGTTGCATGACACCCAGGTAAACACCGTCTTGAATCCCGTGCTGACCAGTCCGTTCAGGTACATACACACGAACACTCCACAGTCGGTGTCGTTACCCTGTTGAGGGATAACCTCCTTCTGGAAAACACACAGAAGATTGCACCAATGCATCAGTCGTCGAGCCCCGCACATCAGTGAAACGGTAAGAACGCCGGGCGGACCATACCTGAATGAGTATGCGCTTGGCGTCCTTCAAGGCCTTCATAGCGTACGGACGGTCGCCGAGCGGGCGACGAGCCTTGTGAAGTAGAAACAACATCCTGCGCCACCATAGAAACACGGATCCGATGAGTCTCCACCTCAATGGTTTCACAACGTCCATTGTCCTGCTGTGACTGGGACTCACTTCTTCACACCCTCTATGACCTCTGGCGTCCTCGTGTGCAGCCCCTCACTGTCATAGTGGATGAGGTATAGAGGATCGCCGTCCCCCTCAGATGACATCCTCCTTGTCATAGCCCGCAGGTTCACCGCAATTACCAGAGAGAAGTGCCTCCTGTACGTACACACACAGGTTTCCACACCTCGTTAAACCATCATCATGGCGTTGAGACCTAGGTGCACATGCTGGACTGGACACGTGATATCTTCACCTCCCACCTTGCAATAGCCGGTATGGCAAGGTAGTCGAGATCGAAAACACACGGGGATCTTCCCATCGGCAACGCCCTGTTCAACTGCGTCGCGTAGACGTAGGCTTTGGTGTCCAACGGAAACCATGTCTTGCCATCCGGCAAATGCGGGCGTCGGATGTTCAGAAGTCTACACACGTACAAGGATACGGTGCACTGATGGAGGAAGATACACAGCCACAAGCGCATATATGCTCTCCTGATCCAACAAAAACGACACTCACATGTTGTGGAAATCAACGACGCTGTCCGCAAGATTCTGGCCGTCTGCCGTAGTAAGCGCATCCTGCGCGGTCACGTGGCACCCCTGACCGTGAGGTCCATATAGGGCCAACGTCTTGAAGGCCTTTTGGTTTTCGGGAACCTGCAGACTGCTAACCAAGTCGTTCGGCTCGTCTGTATCGGGAGATGGGACGAGTTGTAGGGATTTGACGCGTGCGCACTCCGAACTCTCAGACTTCAAAATACCACGCTTAGTGTCGCTGTCTGCCGGAGGTGGTGAGTCCGTGCCAGGCCTCTTGGTACGCATCCGCTCAATCAACTCTTCCACGCCCTGAGCAAGCTTTGGAGACCCGCTGTCGTGGACGGATTTCTCGTGCTTTGTTCGCTTCGACATCGTGCGGTTGGCGCCTATGTGTGCGGGACAGTTATCTGGTGCAACTACGGACGGGAGTAGCTAATGCTCCACATGGTCGTTAGTTCTCACCTTCTACTGCCTGGCCCACCGCTGCGATGGACAGAAGGATCCGCTCGAGATCGAGATGTGCGGGAGGAAGTGGATCTGATGAGGGCGTAAGTGCGGATTAGGTCTGGTTGAGACGACAGGCAAGTTTGCCACGCGTCCGTAATATATGAGAGCGCGCCAAAAGCGAAGACTCTCGATCGGACACATGCATGGGTAGCAACGGATAGAATGATGGAGACTTTTAAGGAGTACAAATCAATGCACACCCTCGTCCACGCTTGATATTGGCTACATGGTTTGCATAAACAAAAATCAAAGGGTTGCGAGACCCTTATGTACCCACATAACGGGACGGATAGTACCGCGTGTAATTGACATTTGCGCAGAATGGTGAAATAACTGGTACGAAGTTGATGTGTCCGGGTTGTTGATTGTCGTCATAGTTGCGTGCAAGCAATACAGGGTGATGCAACATGTTAATGCGGGTGTAAGGAGCACGTTTGCACATGCGTATAGGGTAGCGCATTACAATGTTGCGTTCACGGTTTATTTAAATGCGATAACTCCGTACTGTCCGGTCTTTTAGATCGCTGGGTATTGACAAGCCAATTACAAAACCATCTAGGCGCAGCCACCCCTAAAAGCTGTTGCCACTGACGGATGAAGCGAGAGGAGAACTGTTGCACCGCAGCATAGCTCCGTCTAAGCCATCGCTGTCGCTATACCCAGGAACTGCCAGGCGCGCACCGCTCAGTCGAGCCCGCTTAGTTGGAGTGCGACGGAGCCCGTTGATGACGTCGTCGTTGCATAGACCAGTGCGCTCCGAGAAAATCCCTCGGAAGAATGCCAAGTTGCGCCGCGGTACGTATATACGTCTTAGTCACGGCGCGCACTATTCGGCGGCGACTACGAGGGTCGTGCAGACTCGGCCCAGCTGGCATAATCAACGGAGCGGTAATCTCCACCGCTACGACGTCTGCGACGGGAGCGTCCCGGCCGATGATGGCGAGAATGCGGGTGTCGCACGACGCGTATTCGGTGGCTTGCATCATGGCAGTATCGCCCTTTTTGAACTGGTTTATCAGTAGCTGCAGACGGACGAGTTGGGAAATGAGTGGCTCCACCGTGACACAAGTTGCAGGATAATCCGTCAGATGGAGAAGCGACCTCCACGCCATGGGCAACATCCCAGACCTTGCCCACGAGAGGTGGACAGCCCTGCAAGGGGTGCAGTCGCTAGCAGACCCCACCCATAGCAGTACGTTCTCAAAGACAATTATGGGCATTGCGCCCTTAGACAGCCACGCCGCGTCCCTTATGATGAAGTCGATGTAGCAGGACCGTAAAATGGTCTTGAACATCTCGACCACCCCTTTGAACCACGGAAGGTTGTACGTCGACACGACACCATCGAGATGAACTATCTTCGTTGACGTGAGCTCCTGCACACGAAATCCGCAGAGTGTGCTCTCGTCACATGCGGGGTCTGTGAAAGTTTAAAAGAAAGAAGAGGGTTGAACTAGCAAGAATGAGGATACAAATAGCAAACCCTAGAAGGGTTGTACTCGCTATAGAGCACCCCACTACAGGCTAGAGCACAATATTCTGACACACCCCCATAGCCAAAGTGGGGTGTAATCAGCAGAGCAAGCAAAGCAGTACAAGCTCAGGGTGGATCACAATGTCACCACACATTCTGAGCACAAGTTCAAGAAGCAATAGTTTAAAGTTTACAATTATCAGCAAAGCTAGTGGTAGTCACAACGAGCAAGTGAGGAGGAGGAGGGAGAGTGAGAGGAGAGGAGATAGAAGGCGGCGGCTGAAGCTGCAGACACACGGGCAACAGGAGTGGCGAGCACAGTGGCTACCGGACCAAGCAGCCGGACTACAGGAGTAACTGGCTCCGCGGCTAAGACAAGCGGCAGGAGCTACGGACCCACAGGCGACTGGCGCAGCGACAAGCTCACTGGGCTACCGGGACAGCGCCCCGGACTACAGGTGCTGCGGACGACAAGACGGCAGCCTCCGCTCAACCTCCCGCAAACAGTCCCACCCCCCTGACACACACCCGCTGCTACATCCCTAGCTCCACTCCCCCTTCACCCTCTAGCACGACTCCGTCGACTCCCACACACCCACCCCCCTCAGCGGCAGCTGCAGCAGTGGGAGACAGAGGAGGAGGAGGAGCAGGGGAGACCACACACCCGCCACCCCCTACTCGCCACCCCCAAATCCTAACACAGGGCAGGGCGGGATGGCGGGTAGGGAGGTTACGGAGGGGGGCGACGCGCGGTCTCCTAGAGCGCCAAAACATGCGGCAGAAAGGGGCGGCGCTCGCCCCCTCCCCCAGAACACCCCTCGGTGACGGGGAAAGGGGGGGGGGGGGGGGGGGGGGGGTTTAGCTCCCCCGGTACGCCGCGAGGGCGGCGCACGGGGCCGTCGAAGGGGCGTGAGGGGGCCGCAGGGGCGGCGCGCGGGGCCGACAAAGGGGCCGCGAGGGGCCTGGAAGGGCGGCGACGGGCCGCGAAGGGCGACGGGGGCGACGCGCGGGTCCCCGTCGCCCGTCGCATTGCCTCCCGAGGGCGACGCGGCGAGTGACGGGGCAGAAGCCCGTCGCGCGCCTCGGGGCGCACCGCGGGCAGAGAACCGCCGCGCGCCTCGGGGCGCACCGCGGGCAGAAAACCGCCGCGCGCCTCAGGGCGCACGGCGGGAAGAAAAACTGCCGCACCACGGGGCGTGCGGCACTGAGAGTAGCAGTAGGAGTTGCAGCGGAAGCAACGAGGTGGTGAGCCCACCTACAGGATCGATCCAAGGGGATCGACCTGCTCTGATAGCATGTGAAAGTTTAAAAGAAAGAAGAGGGTTGAACTAGCAAGAATGAGGATACAAATAGCAAACCCTTGAAGGGTTGTACTCGCTATAGAGCACCCCACTACAAGCTAGAGCACATTATTCTGACAGGGTCCAGGGACACGTGAGCTGCGCTCGCGACGAGTACAATGGCAGACTTGTTGTGGCTGAAGTGATCCAAGTCGAAGGTGTCAATGTACTCTGTGAAGCACTGCGGGACAGAGGGAAACACATACACGACGAGGACCGCGTGTGATTAGTTGCACAGAAGGATCACAGTATTGTCAAGGTGAGAGAGGAATGATGTCGACTAGTTTGGGGCATGGGGTACAAAAGTGACGAGAGAAAAGTTGTACCCCCTAAGAAACACCCCTACAAAACCTAAACCTAAATTATATAAATCATATAATTTGACACACCCCCATAGGTGAAGTAGGGGGATAGCCAAACCTAACAGGGGTCACAAGACCAGTTCACATGCAGGTTTATAACACAGCAAGAGATACAGTGATCACATCCTAGCAAAAGTAAACATGCAGGCATATATATATATAGTGATCACAGTACAAGCAGGGTCAAGAAGTAAGCAAGTGAGGTCCAGTAGGCACAAGGCCTAGCAGAGTGCAAAAGCGCTGATGGTCAACAGGCGGAAGCGCCTTGGTGAACACATCAGCAGTGTTGGCCTCAGTGGCCACGTAACGCAGACAAAGCTGACCACGCTGCTGCAGCTCTCGAGCAAGAAAGTACCGCAGAGCAATGTGCTTCGTTCTGTGCTCCAGTCTGTGCTCCTGACACAAGGCAATGGCAGCCTTGTTGTCGACGTATAGCACTGGAGGAGAACCAGGCCGCTCTCCAAGGTCGGTCAGCAGGTAGGTCAGCCAGCGTAGCTCCTGGGCAGCCATGGCTGTGGCGTAGATCTCAGCCTCACAACTGGAGCTGAGAACAGAAGAAGAGCGTGTAGAACGCCAGGAAACTGAGCCTGAGCCAAGGCTGAAGGTGTAACCCTGTGACGACCGCTGAGTAGCCTGGTCGTCTGCCCAAGAAGCGTCTGAGTGCCCTGTGAGAACAGGCCGGTCTCGCCCTCCAAGCACT